TGCACGGCATCAAGTGTGTGAGAACCGTATTGTTTCCGGCATCCTCTTTTGGTGCAGTGTCAGCATGTCATAGCCAGTCGTCAATGACTGCTTGTCACTCTTTGCGAGTATGTACAGTGTTGCGTGGCGTAGCTGCATCAACTGACATGTGTAAGTCTTTGTGACCGCCCAAAACCAAAAAGATGGGGTGGCCGCACTCGAACTGGCAAAGGGCTTCCATGACTTAACGACAACCAGCTTAACGTGACTTCAGCCGGCCTCATTGCCATCACTATCGTCATCATCGTCACAATAACGGGCAGCATCAGTGCCATCGCCAGCTAGAGTTACAGTACATCACGAGCAGCACGTTCATCATCAGTATGACTCATGTCGTCTGCCTGAACAACCTATGAGGGAAAAACGTTTGCCCTTCTGATTCCCACAGTCAACTCCACCACCACTACACTAGATCATGCCCCGTGGATACCATTATGATTAGAGTCATCGCGTGGTTACCACAGTCTCCGCCATGATCATCGCAACAGCCGTCAGCAACATCGTCATTATCACCGCCATCATCGTCATCACAATCGTCAGAAAACTTTTCTGTTCATCTCAGCAGGGCTCTCGTCATTGTCGCGTCCGCCCTCTCCCTCTGCCTCACTATCACAATCACCGGCCAGGACGCCACAACAAGTGCCAGCAACAGCTTCAGCAACAGCGCAGGGTTCAGGTTCATGTTTCGGGTTTAGGGTTTAGGGTCCGGAAACCCATTCCTAAACCCTAAAGCCTAAACGCTGATAAGCCCTAAACCCTGCCAGCCCTGAGCGGTCTTATGCGTGGCACGCAGTACTGAAAAAAAAGGCTCGGAATAATCCCTCATAGTATTCCCTTAAGTTTAGCCGAATATAACTCGAGTAGAACATCCCCCCGAACTAATATTTGTTTAAGGGCCCTGTATGAAGTTGGGGGTTTCCAAAAATGGGGGACCCTGATATAGTACCCTGAATAGCAGGTCATCATAAGGACCCCAGCATAAGGTATCGTAAACCCTGAACCCCCAACCCCCCCCCCCCAAGCCTTAAACCCTGAACCCCCCCCCCTCTGTTTTTCGGAAACTCCCATGTGTGCCGGGCTGCCCATGGCCAAGCGAATCTGATCTCCTTTGAAGTTGAGGGCCTGCGTGATTTGCCAGATCAATTCCAGGATAATAAGGTCGAGGGTTTAGGGTTTAGGGTTTAGGGTTTAGGTTGGATAGGGCTTACTTGGAAGTTCATGGGTAGTTATAAGTGGGGTTACAAGCAGGGCAACTATAATTCTAACCCATATTAGGGGACTTCTAACCCCGCGTATAACTACCCATGAACCTGAAAGTAGGGTTTAGTACCCGAAAACCTACAAATACGGTGGACTTCATAACTAGACGAGGGTTTTGGGGGATGTTATAGCATAGTTCTACCAAAGAACGCTAAGGAACATTGTTGCAAGTCATTGAGGCCCCTGTATGACTCTAACCTAAGATGCTCTCGGTGCAACCGGTTGCAGCACAGGAACCTTCCAATTCGGGAGTTTCCGAAAATAGGGGGTACCTTATTTGGGGTCCTTATAAGAAGGATCCTACCATTTAGGGTACTATACTAGCGTCCCCTATTTTCGGAAACTCCCATTTGTCGAAACCCTTTCTTCTCAAGAAGGGCTTCATAGTCTCGGTGTGTCTTGCTCGGAGTGGAAACCGAAGGGGCCCGAAGAGGCGGAAAGGGTTTTATGTGGTGTTAATATAGGGGTTTCCGAAAATGGGAGGCCACAATATAATATAGTACCCTAAACAGTAGGTACCCCCGGAAACTCCCATATGTTTCGTAGCATGTACAAGTAAGCGTTGGACGGGGGTCTATACAACCAACACTTGGCATAACAAGTGCCACACCATGCACTACAACAAAAGAAGCGGGGTAAGCAGCAGCAGCAGCACCAGGGTCCCCTGTCTCATTTAGGGGCGGCTTAACGATTGGAGCTTTGCAGTTAAGCATTTATAGGGTTATAGGGTGTCAGGCTTTGGAGCTTTCCGGTGTTGGGATTGAACGTGTTTGTCTAACTCTAAACCCTGAACCCCAAACCCTCAACCGTAATCCCTACTCCCTCTTAAACCCTCCAACTACCCTCCAATATACACTAAATACCACTATTAAGGGCCACAGGGACTCCATTAAAGGGCCCTTGGAAGGTCCTGGCTACGCCCTAAACCCTGCGATGCGCTGACGTTCCTCCACCCGCAGGTCCAAACAAGAGATGGGTCTCTCTCGGGCAGGTAAGCCCTGCCTACCGATATGCTTCGGCGCTTTACGTTCAGGGTTTGGGGTTTATGGTTGTTTAGGCCCAAGGATAGGTATTGGAGTTCGGATGTTAGGATTTAGGCCTGAGGATTTCGAGGTTTCAGTTTGTAGGCTTTTGGGGGGTGAGGCTTCGGGGTTTAGGGTCTTAGGGTGGGCAAGCACAGCCATGCTGCTGTGGCTTTGGCGTATGCATGCCGCCCTGCCGGAGAAAATCAAAGCACGTAAGCATGAGCAGTCCCCCAAGTGGGAAGTAATCATCACACAGTCACAGAATCAGCATGGAGTTTGAAGACAGAATGAAGGACCCCTATGTAAGTACTACAACAGCCCTGCATTGCACGCCACTTAACACGAGAACGCCAACAAGGGACACCTGACTTTGAGAACCCCTCCATTGTCATCCAGGAAGGCGGGTCCCGGTGGCTTAGGGTTTAAGGTTCAGGGTGTATTTACTGCAGGAAGTTGCTTGAGGAACTTTGCATGCTTATGAGCTGTTCCAGCTCCTGAAGCAGCAGCGGGGTGTGTCCGCGGAGTTTCTGAATACCACGCTGAACAACATCAGCACGGTCAGAATCACGTTCGAGCTCGTACAGATCGAAACTGCCCCCAGGCCTGACGTCCTACAACCCCGAAAACCACGAAAGACTGTGAAAGCCTGAAGCCACCTACATCCCAAATTCCTTGCAGCAATATAGAAGCCTGAACAAGTACCACCAAGCTTCGTACTCAGGGTTCCTATTATACTTACATGAAAACAGACCCCCTCCCAAGCCCTAAACCCTACACAAACCCAAAACCCTAAACTCTAAACCCAAAGCCCTACTCGGATTTCTAGATGGGTAGTTCTCTAAGTTGAGACTTTGGGGGACAAAAAAGGGACCCTAATTCAGAGAACTACCCAGATAAACTACTCAGATATCTCTAGATGTTCCGAAACCCTTAACACTAAACCCCAAAACCCTAAACCCAAAGCCCTGTGCAGGTTTTCTAGATGTCTCTGGATTTTTGATTTGAAAGCAAGGCACTGGCCTCTAGACACACCCATGATGACCTGCAGCGTCCGGCCGCAAGCCGTGGATTGTGAAACACACCGGAACTGGTATTTGGTTTAGACTCTAGGGTTTAGGGGTTTAGGGTTTAAGGTTTAGGGTTTAGGAGTTTAGGTGTTTAGGGGTTAGGGTTTAGGGGTTTAGGGGTTTAGGGTTTACGGTGCATGGGAGGGTGTTTATTAGTATGCGGTTTGACGATTTCTTATTCAGGGATAATTATAGCTTTAGGGTCTACATGGTACTTCAGGATTTCTGGCTCAGGGTTATAGGGCTCAGAGCATTGGCGCGTGAAGCAGTAGCGGGGCGTGTCCAGTACTCCAAGTGCCACTCGATCCTCGAGAGTATCCCAATAAGCCCTGGACCGTAAACCGTAACTTCGAAACGACTGCTTCATACGGCTATCGCATGGACCTATCATCATCAATTTTGCCATGGTTCATAACTCTCAACTCCTAACTCTTGATCCCCAATTCTGAACCCAGGACTTTAGAGGCTGCGCCCTGTAGATGGGCACGGCCGATGTTCCCAAGCGGTTTTATCGAATGACAGAGCTTCAATTAAATTCAAGTTGCTTCCGAAGCAAAACATGCCAAGTTTTTAAATACGATCACCGAAGACAAAACACGTACCGAGGAGATTCGGTATCGAGAGTTGGGATCGCGGGGATTGGCCCACGAGGGTATCGCAGGGCGCAGAGTTTGAAGGCCAAATTTCCAAATAAAGAAAAGAAGTGTCGACAGGACTAGGTATCGAAGATATTGTACCCAAAGTTGCTTTGCTACCAATGTGTCCACAATGCCAAAATGAAGCCTACTCCCTTCAAACATCCTTGCCCCCCACCCCTGAACCCTAATCCCTAAATCGTAAACCCTGACCCTTCAACTCAAACCTTCGCGAACATCGAAAGAGGCTACGGCACCGGATTCGGAGCACCCCCATGATCGCCTGCTGCCTCTGGCTGCAAGCACCGTGGATACAAAATCATATGCTAGAGGGGCCTTCACAATTGGAACAGGGTTATGGGAGGCCAAAAGGGGGGTTTAAGATTCTTGGGTAAGGATTCCTTAATATGAACCCTATTGTGGGAACCCTAATCCCTACTAAACCCGCACAAGCTAAAACCCCTTTTGGCCTCCTATGACAGGGTTTGGGGTACCTGCTAGTATATGTAATAATACGGAACGTTAAGGGATGGTATTACCAATTACTCAGGCCCCTGTACCCAGTCCCCCTCTCCTCCGGCGCTACCCTGAGAATAAACTGCAATTCTGGTACAGGTCCTTAAATAGTATGCATTTAAGCGATCAGCTATCATCGCGGGCAGTGAGGGGGGCTAGGTAGAAATAATTGTGCCAATTGTCGTACAAGAACTGAAACAGCAGTCCGCGGCTAAGGCTACGGCCGTTTGCCTAGCGAGAGGCAGATGGGCCGGCTACATGGGCCCTACATGTACGGTGCACTGTCTGTTGCTGCACGTGCAGGGTTTAAGGTTTTACAGATGCCCGGCTGCACATGTTTAAATGCAGTACAGAACCATAATGAACCCTAAACCCTAAACCCTAAACCCCTAAACCCTATGTTGTGGCGGTATCTGGTCCTCTGTCCGGACCCACCTCCTCTCCCACGAATGCCTAAATCATGCAAAATATTCGCCCACATGGCTCACTGCAGGCAAGGTTGCCATATCTGTCTGTGTCACCCACATCGGACAAACATTCATGTCTGCCACTGGGGGAGCATACCGGGGCGAATTCTGTTCGGGCTCTTCGAATATGAGATCTCGCATCATGGCCTTGTTTTGTCGAGCAAACTCTCCCGCAAATGCTGCGGCGCACGAAACTAAAAAAAGTGCTAAAAACCCAAGCCCAATCTCAAGCATAGTAGGATCCTGAATAATAAGGTGCGTATCCTCCCGCATGAATAGCAAAGCTTACTAAATCCGACCGGCAAGTTGCCTTGAGGAACTCCGGCTCGTCCTGCATTTTAGACTCTGCGCCAGGGGCACCTTTGGGAGAAGCCTTGGTGCTCATTCCATAAGCCAGGGAAGTCGGCAAGACGGTTTGGGACGTGGTCTCCACCGTGTGCACCTTGGGCAGCAACTTCTAAGATACCATAATACCAGGAAGCCATAATCTGGCTTAGGCTTTAGGGTCTGTGTCGAGATTATGGCCACTTCAACTGGCTATCTATCTGTCTGTCTGCCTTCCGATCTATTTATATATCTATCTACCTACCTATCTATCTGTCGATCCGTACGTCTAGCTATCTTTCTATCCAGCTATATCCTCTTTACGGCAGCTTGCTCGACCTGCTGACCATACTATAGCGAAGACATACTAGCTTGAACATTAAGTCATGTCATGTACCATATATAGCTACGAAGAAGCAGAAACACAGGCTCCTAAATCCCCAACTGCCTTGAACCCTCAACCCTGAGCCTTACCCCTAAACCCTGGCAGCTCCAAACCCTGAAGCGCTAAAGCACATAAACCCTACACCCTCTGAACCCTAAAGCCTCAAATAAACCCTAAACCCTAAACCTTATAAATTCCTTTCAGAACCCTGTTTTGAACCCTTTTCGGAGCCCAACCCTAAAGCCTCAAATCAACCCTAAACCTTATAAATCCCTTGCAAAACCCTTTAAGGAACCCTTTAAGGAGCCCTTATAAATCCCTTTCAGAACCCTTTAAGGAACCCTTTAAGGAGCCCTTATAAATCCCTTTCAGAACCCTTTAAGGAACCCTTTGAGGAGCCCTTTAGGAGCCCACAACTCGAACCAGGGGGCTGGACCGGTCGCCATCTGAGCCTGCGCCATTCGCTGGGCCATCATGTAGTGTAACATGGCCGGCTCTATCTCCTCGGGTAGGGTTTTAGGGTCTCAGGGTTTTGGGGGGTTTTGGGGGTTTTCGGGTTTAAGCTTTTAGGGTCTAGGGTTCTTGGGCTTTAGGGTTTTAGGGCTTAGGATGGTATTGGGTTCTAGGGTGTTGGGGGTTACGGTTGAAGGGTTTAGGGTTTAAGGGTTAGGGTCAAGGGTTTAGGGCTACGGATTTGGCCGGCCATCTCCTCTTGCTTCTTCGGGGTTTCGTGGTAAACCCTGCTGGTGTCGGGCAATCTTCGCAGCTCGGACTGTCCATGAGCATACCTGCAAGCATTTCCATTCTTGCAGAAGCCCTTTCTTTTGAACCTGGTGCACAGAGCTGTGGCTGCCAAATCCGGCTGAACCCGCAGCTCGTCGTACGAATGTGCGTAAGTGCACAAGTCCCCCAGATGACATCTCCCCTTCGTCTGCCAATACTTGCAAATCCTCGTGAATTTGAGCGCGGCCCGAGTCTCTCCGATCTGGTCGCGCGGCATGGCTCGATCTCTCAGCAAGCCCTCTAAACACCGCTCTAAAACGCGGCGCTCAAAATGAGTACTTTTGTCGCTTTCGGGCCAACTTGGCTGCACGGACTTGCCATCAACATGAGGGTAGTGGTGAAGGTGGTGGTTGTGGTGTCAGTAGTAGTAGCAATAGTAGCAGTAGTAGTAGTAGTAGCAGCTGCAGCAGCGATAGCAGTAGCAGTGGCAGTAGCAGTAGCAGTATTAGTATTAGCATTTGTATTTGTATTAGTATTTGTATTAGTATTAGAACAAGTACCAGTGCTAGTATTCGAATTAGTTGTAGCATTAGTAGCGGTAGGCAGTAGTAGTAGTAGTAGTAGCAGCAGCAGCAGCAGCAGTGGAAGTAGCAGAAGAGGCACTAGAAGCAGTAGTCGTTGTAGTAGTAGTAGTAGTAGTAGTAGTAGTAGTAGTAGTAGTAGTAGTAGTAGTAGTAGTAGTAGTAGTAATAGTAGTAGTAGTAGTAGTAGTAGTAGTAGGAGTAGGAGTAGGAGTAGTAGTAGTAGTAGTAGTCGTAGAAGTAGTAGCAGTGGCAGTAGCAGTAGTAGCAGTAGTAGTAGTAGTAGTAGTAGTAGCAGTAGTAGTAGTAGTAGGAGCAGCAGCAGCAGCAGTCGTCGAAGTAGTCGTAATAGTCGTAGCAGTCGAGGTAGTCGTAGTAGTCGTAGTGGCAGTAGCAGTAGCAGTGGCAGTGGCAGTAGCAGTAGCAACCGCATAGTAGAAGTAGTAGCAGTAGTAGCAGTAGTAGCAGTAGTAGCAGTAGTAGCAGTAGTAGTAGTAGTAGTAGTAGTAGTAGTAGTAGTAGTAGCGGTAGTGACGAGTAGTAGTCTTGGTAGTAGTCTCATTGAACCGCCTCCAGGGAGGAGTAGATGGCATTGATCCGCTCCCAGGTCAGTTTGCCCTTGAAACGCCAGTGCCTGAGGAGCTGTTCGGGTTTAAGAGCATTGTTTGACCTAGGTCGAAGGTTTTCGGGATTCAAAATGTTGCATTAACAGGTTAGGGTTCAGGATTTCGGATTTGTTTAAGGTCAGTTTACTGCGCTTCGAGTTTCTCCTGGTATCTTCGAAGCTGCTGTGGGCAGTCTACAGGGTTGCTGAACGGTGTCCTTGTTATGTTGTCTGTACTGCTTTTTTGAAAGTGGAAGTGGAGAGGGTGGAAAAGCCTGAACCCTAAACCGTCGGCGGAGTGAGGTCCAGGGTCTCTGCTCGGGGCAAATCATGTGAGAGCGGCGAGTCCCTAAACCCTATTCCCGAAATCTATCTTTTGAGCTCGAGACCCCAAACCGAAAACCCTAATGTAGGAACCTGATTAAGAAAAAATGAGCCTTTATCGGGGTTCCTTATATGAATCCTATATACTATGTTGGAGTGATAGGCCCAGGGTTTCTTAATCAGGTTCCTACATCTTTATTATAGGGTTTAGGGTTAAGACACCCGTTCCGACCCGATGATGCACTCACCCTACATCCTAAATTCCAACGCTTCAGAACCTTGAACCCGTCGGACTGCCCAATAAAGAAACGTAAGTACATAGATTCCTTCAATACAGACATAAGCACATGCATGCACACATACATGCATGCACGCATGCCTGCATACATGTAAACATGCACTGACACGAATACATATATGCTTACTTGCAAACACAAATTCAGGCACGTACAGATGCACACACCTGTGTATCTACATACAAGCCTGCATACATGCAGGTTTACAGACATGGGGAATCACATGCATGCATGCATGGGTGCATGTACTCGCTTCGCGACTTACTCACATACTTGCTTGCGCACGTACTCGTACTTCAGCTAACCTAACCTATCACCACCTTACCGGACAGTAGTTTGCCTTACCTGTACCTTCGTTTAACTTCACGCTACGGTATTCTAAGCTGAACTGAACCTGCTTGCTTGTTTAGTTGCCTAGTTACTTGGCTACAAAGTTAATTCGTTGCGTAGCTTCTCAGCCAGTCATGGTCAGATACCTAGCTAGTTAGTTGCTTACTTCAGGGTGGCCACCCCTTTACACTTTCGCGCCTTGGCAGGCACGGTTTAAGTTCTCCCTCCGCGTCTCGCAAAGGTGCGAGGGCGGCATCTACCTGGCCGGTTGCTTGCAAGAGGTTTGTACGTTTTGAAGCGGTTGTCAAAGGTTTTTTCAAAGGGTTCGGGGTCATCTAAGGGCCGGGGACCCATTCGATCAGAACATAACTAGGATTTACAGTTTGGGCCTTATAGGATCTAGAGTTATAGGATCTAGAGTCGAGAGCCCAGTCCGTGAGGGGAACTGTCAGGTGGGCACATTCTCGGAGTGGGGTTAGGTATGCATGCTGCATGCTAATCTCTAGGTTTTCTGGCCCTGACTCTTGTTTCATGGACGAACACGAAGGACCATGTTTGCAAGCATCTAAGATGTGCATAGACGTTATCTGTTGAGAAACCTTAACGCTTCCTAAACCCTAAAACCAAGTACCCCCTTGGTCTGGGCCAATACTGATCCTAAGCTCCACACCCCCATTCTAAAATCCTACTCCGCAAACCTCAAAGGCAAACCGCACAGGCCCCACCCGAAAGCTCTAAACACCAACCCCTGAACCCTGGACCCCACAGCCGACCGCCCTGAATCCTACTTGGAGGATCATGGGACTTAGTAAGTTAGGCTATAAGTACCTTAATTGAGGGTATAACTACTTATAAGTATGGTTACCTTAATTATAACCCTAGTTACTAAATCCAATGATCCTTGAAGTACACCCTTTTAGGTGCACTTTGCGCCTTCTGCTCGGCAGTTTTGCTGAGCACGACGACCCCGGCAGGAGCATAACCACCTACACTTGCAGCCCAAGGGAGTTCTATAAGGGTTCCCAAAAATTTTACTTAAAGGGAGTTCTATAAGGGTTACTATAAGGGCTAGTAGAAGCCCAAAAGTTGGAAACCCCATAGCCTCAATCCTTGAGAAGAACTGGTAGGGAATCCCAGCACTATTTGGCCTTAATCCGGTTTCCAACTTTATGGGGTTTGCTGTAGACCAGGCACAAGGCAAAGGGATTCCAAGAGCGAAGTGTTTACCATACGGGCCGAAAGAAGGGCCAGCACAATTTGGGGGGTTCCTTATTACTATTATTATTATGCTACAACGGGCTACAAAACCCCACGAAAATTATCAAGGCCACTATGCCTATGTTTGAACAGGATTCTGGGGTAGCTTGTGGCATATTCCTAGGAGGGCTTTTCAGCAATACTCTAACCTCCCTTAAGCGGGCTACGGTCTATAGTAGAAGACAGAAAGTTGGAACATGGCGTTAAGAGTACTGGTGCTAGGATCCCTTATACTTTAGCTTAAGGGCATGAGGACTACTTGAAGGATCATGGGACTTACTCTGGCCGCGATTAAGGTACTTATAACCTAACTTACTAAGTCCCCTGATCTCCAAGTAAAACGCGTCCAGCAGGAGAATTGCAAACGAAGACCGTCGGAATTTAGGTAGGGGGAGGGTTTAGTGTGTGGGGTCTAGAGGGTGGGGTTTAGAGCTTTAAGGCTTTTTTCGGGTTTAGGGCTGAGGGCTTTGAATGCTCCCAAAATCCACCCCGGCTGAATTTCCGAGCCCTAAACCATAAGGCTCGGAAGACAGAGAGGCCCTAGACATCGTTAAATCGTAGACCTAAGCTCCAAACCCTGAAAATGGCATCCTAGACTCTGGATGCTAAATCTGAACCGCTAAGGCGAGATCGAAGCACTGCACTACATCCCGCCGCCTTCTAAGTGTTTTAGACTGAGGGACTTCAGGTGTAGGGTTTAGGCTTTATACCTGAAGGATCATGAGACTTAGTAACTAGGGTTATTATTATGGTAACTGTTACTATTACTCAAAACCCTGAGTAAGGTACTTGTAACCTAACTTACTAAGTCCCGTGATCCTCCAAGTAGGGTCTAGGGTACGTATTCAGGATCTCTATTGAAGGGCTTTGGGGTGCATCTGGGCTTTGGCGGATGTAGAGTTCAAGCGTGTACCAAGGTTGTGTTGGGGCTACAGGCATGGTTTACTAGGATGCCCAGAAACCTAGGAATAGAAAGGGCTCCCTTTTTGGTATTGGGTACCTTTATAAGGAACCTAGGACTACAAGAAGGGAAAATCAGGGTACTACTGGGCATCCTAGTTTAGGAGAAACACGCCTCGTCTTTCGAACTGGCTTGCTGCGTCCGCTGGGATGACTTTCCTGCCGAACAGGCTCCAGCGATTGTGCGTTTGCAGAAGGTTCTTTGCATTCATGAACCGCGAAAATACCTTTGAACATCGTAAAACCATAAACCCTCGACCCCTAAACCTAAACGGCAAGTAAACCCCAAAGCACGCAGACAACCTCCCGGATGTTCCATGATTGCAGGATGCAGTCACTCTCCTTTTGAACCAAGCCCTAAACTCTCCCAAACCCGACAACTCCGCAAGTTGAGTATAGACCGCACAGACGGAGGGCAAAGGTGATCTTCATGCCCAGGCCCGTCAAGGAAGGGATTCAATGATTCGGGGAAATTTCTTCAAACCCCTTGAACCCCCTGAAACCCTATACAAACACATGAACCGCCTTGCGCAACCCTAGTAATTCTGTTGATTGTTGTTGCCCTCTGGCCGCAGGAAGGAACAGCAAACGATTGCGGAGGAAATGCCCTAAACCCTAAAACCCTAAAACCCCAAACCCTATGTAAAGCCCTAAAACCCTAAACCCCAAAACCCCAAAAAAACCCTAGACCCGAAAACCCGATATCGGGCTCTGGGGTTTCAGGTCTCAAGGCTTCGATTTGTAGGGACTGTCGGACTTGAGGGTCTTCAGGGGCTTTAGGCTTTCTGGTTTAGGGTTTAGGGTGTTGGGCTTAGGGTTTGGGGTTTATAGGGTTTAGGGTCTAGGGCTCAGGGTTTAGGGTTCAGGGTTTTGGGTTCAGGGTTGAGGGTGTTGGGCTTAGGGTTTAGGGTTTCGGGCTTTATGCTTTGTTTTGAATGTGTCTGTGTTTACGGGTTTGGGGTTAGCAAGGCCAGACTCTTGCAGCAACTAATGCAGGGGCCTTAATATCAGAATAAGATTTTGGGGCCCACTAAACTAAAATTATAATAAGGCGCCCCCAAAATCATATTGATAATGATTAAGGCCGCTACAGTAGATCTGTTAGGATTCGCACCGAAGGCAAGCCAATCCTCGAAACCTCAAACCCGTAGCACCCTGACCTGACACCCTAAACCCTGAACCCAAAACACTTTAGGGATTCCGCGTTCAGAACCCTCAACCCTAAACCTTAAAGCCTAAACCCTAGACCCAAAAGCCTGAACCATAAACCCTAAACCCTGAACCCGGGTTAAAAAGCCCCCAACCTGAAGCCCCAAACAAGAACCGAAAGTCTGTGGCTGCAGCCCTGGGGTGCGAAATGTCAGCCTGCGATTCCCCGCAGTTAGGGGGTTTAGGGTTTAGGGTCTAGGGGTGTAAGGCTTCAGGGTTCAAAGTTTACAGGGTTTGGGCCCCAGGCACCCTCAATCCCTAAACCCCTCAACCCCTAAAGCCCGACACCCGTGGAACCACAAAAACCACCCCAAACCTTAAACCTCAAAGCCGTAAGCCGTAAACCTAAACTCTAAACACTCAGCTCTAAACCCTGAACCCCCTAAACCCAACCAAGCGTCCGAAACCCAAACCCTGAACCCTGAGCCCTCGGTTGGTGCCTCTCTAGCTTCGCAAGCTCGTCCTTTAGTCGGCTTTCGACGGCCATCTCCCACTCCTCCTTCCGGGATCTGTCGTACTGTATGATTGGCATTGTGACTACAATCTTGATCATCATCATTAACATCATCAGCATCATCATTACCCTTGTTGTTGCTGCGGCTGTTATTAGCTCCTATTGTTGGCATGGCTGCCATCATTATAAGAACCACCGTCGGTATTATCAGTTTTATTGTTCATATTGTTGCAATTACTAGTACTACTACTGCTACTACATATCTTTACTCTTAATGTTACTATCCTCGTTATCATTATTAGTCCTGCTATGTCTTTTAATATTGTTCTGGTTATCGCAACTTTGATTATGGCTAGCATTATTGTTTTTACGGATAACCATACTATGCTGATTAGTATTGTGATCTGGTTATATATGGTTCTTCTGCTTGCGATAGTGACGAATGATAACAGTAAAAACAACACTATGATAACAACAACCATATAATAGTCAATATTGTCCTCGATCTTTGTGTTCTTATTATTGACTGTATTGTATGCTTACCCTGTCAAATAGCACTGCTATCAATCTTGAGTTACTGTTCTTGCCATGATAGCTGTTATTTGTTGTCGCGCTCGTAGTAGTAGTAGTAGTAGTAGTAGTAGTAGTAGTAGTAGTAGTAGTAGTAGTAGTAGTAGTAGTAGTAGTAGTAGTAGTAGTAGTAGTAGTCGTAGTAGTAGTAGTAGTAGTAGTAGTAGTAGCAGTAGTAGTAGTAGTAGTAGTAGTAGTAGTAGTAGTAGTGGTAGTACGGTTGATGATAAAAATCCTGCATTACCTTAAGGATCCGATCCTATGGGAATAACGGTATATTCCTTATTATGGGTAATGCAGGATTTATATCATCAACAGTAGTAGCAGCAGCAGCAGTAGCAGCAATGGTCATACCAGCAGTAGTCGTAGTCGTCGTCGTAGTAGTAGTAGTAGTAGGAGTCGTCGTCGTCGTCGCAGTCGTAGGAGTAGGAGCAGCAGCAGCAGCAGTAGTCGTAGCAGCAGTCGTTTTCGTCGTTGTCGCCGTAGTAGCACTAGTAGTTGTTGTTGTTGTTGCTGCTGTTGTTGCTGCTGTTGTTGTTGCTGTTGTTGCTGCTGTTCTTGTTGTTGTTGTTGTCGTTGTTGTTGTTTGCTGCTGTAGTTGTGGTTGTAGTTAATTGTAGTTGTAGTTTCAGTTGTTACTGTTGCTGTTGCTTGCTGTCGCTGCGGTTGTTGCTGTTGTTGTTGTTGTCGTGGTTGTTGTTGCTGTCGCATTGATACTACGGCTCGTGCGTTTCCCAGCCCTAACACGATCAACACTAATGAAAACCCCGAACAACTGGTTTATCTTAACCCATAAGGATACTGCTACGACACCTGATGGGGGGGGGGCGGCACGCTGTGTCTTTTAAACCCTTCAAGAGATCTGAGTTCAAGTTCTGCAACTGT